GAGGCAGGGGGGAAATGGCTCCTGATCTCAGAAACGTGCTCCAGGTGGACACGTAGAACACACCTCATTCGTAACACGTGGGGTTTCCCCCTCCCCAACTTTTTGGTGGTACCCTCCAGATCTATCGCCTGCTGGGTGGAAAACAAACCAGCACAAGGTGACCAAGCTCAAACCATATTAATGGAGAGGTAAGAGCCATTTCTGCCCCGAGCACCGCAAAACATTAACCAGGAACATAAGCTATTCAGGAGGAGAGGCTGACCTCCCTCCATCCAAAAGGTCCATGGGAAACAAGAGGGTCGCCCTCCTGGCAATGCAACGGAGAGAAAGAGCAGGAGGAAGTGGCTGCACAGTACCCACTTCCACGCTTGGCCACCTCGGCCAGGAGGGGGGTCTGATCCGAAGACCTCACCTGTTCTGGGCGGAGGATGAAGGCCCTGCTGAAACCAAGTCAAGACTAGGTTAGCAGTCGGCTCAGGGAAAAAGAAAGAGCAATCAGAACTTGGGGACGCTGAGAGTGCTCCTTCTCAGAGAGGGGCTGCTAGTCATTTATTTCTACATTTATGGCATTTTCACCCCGCTTTGCTCCTAAGAAAGGAACCATCAAGGAGCCTGAAAGTTGTTCTTTTTAAAAAATGAACAAAAACATATAAAAGGGGTGGGTTGTTTTTTGCAAGAATAAGCTGCAAAGGGGCGACTCAATCCCTTGCAGAAACACCACCAGGCAGTCTGAAGAGGTGAACAAATCAAATACTTTTGACTTACAGAAGAACTATGTGCCCACAGGGACAATTCCGCCATCTTGGGGTAGAAAATCAAATATTACTGTTGGGGCGGGTGAGAAATCCCCCTCGGGACAGCCCTACTAGCCCTTAAAAGGGGGGCCTCAGGCCACGCAGGGCCTGCAGGCTAAAGGACTCCCAATCTTTGTGGCAATGAGATGAAGCGTGGGGCCTCCCTGCAGCGAAGCGCAGCCGGTGTTCTTCTGGAATGGCATGGCAGGGATGTTTCAGCAAGGCGCTCAGCTGGCGGAGCAGCAGGATCTTGGCCTCTGGTCTCAACAACCTGCTTGCATTTTTAACACATTCATCACAAAGTCAGGATCGCCCTCTCGACTTCTGAAGCTCACGGGTGAGCACAGTTCCTGCATGGCAAAAAGCTCCCTACCTGTGTCCAGAACTCTTCCCTTTCTGTTGCCACCCATATGATCGATGCATAGCTTGTAAAGTCTTCTGAGATTTAAAAAAAAAACGACTAGCTCTTTTTTTTGGCTGATGAAACACTGCAAACATGCCATTTGTGCTGATGACGCTGAGCTAGGTTGCCATAGTTTGCCCTCTCAGGCTCTCCAGATGTTTTGGACTTCAATTCTTAGAAGACAGCCACCCTGGCCAAGGGCCACGGACCCTTGAAGTTGACACCCAGAAACTCCGAACAGCCCGAGAACTGCAGTTTTAAAGAAGGTCTGCAACACAGGGAGAGATACTCCTGTAAAGGTCCAGGAGCAGGATCCACCTCAACGCATTTCTCCTTCCGCTACTGTCTCCGATCTCTCAGACGCTGTTCTGGAAGGATTCTTCAATACAAACCCCGCTTCGCTTCTGGAGGACCGCAGCAGCCGGCCGCTGCAAACATCCGACTGAAAGCCCCTTCGAGCACCCAACAGCTTCCAGTCAAGGATGTTTACAGGAGCAGCGACTGCCCAGATCGATCTAGGACGTGATCTTTCTAGGGTGGCTCCTCATTTCTTGCTGTGAGAAGGACACAGGGCCTCCCATGGGATGGGTGTGCTCTGCAGACCCTCTTGGAAGACTCCCGGGTCTTCTGCAAGATGTCGGTTCATCTAGTTGAGCACAGCTGCTGATCTAATAAACTCAGGTTAGACACAAATGGCCTGTTTTTGTCTAGCCAAAAGATCAAGGGTTTGGGTTTGGGGTTTTTTTGAGGCAGGGGGAAGAGGCTGGTCAAAGGTAAGTGCCTAACTAAAAGTTCGAGAAGGCCACAATCAAAAAAAAAGTGTCATAAGCCTGTATACATACAACTCCTGAGCACCTGGCATAAACCTACAGCATCATGTGCGGGTTATTGCTTATGTAACAGGGAACCTGCTGGGTAGGTAATCAAGTGCTCAATTGTGAGCCTGGTGAGGAAGGGAGCACTCAGCACTTCAAATCAATACTCATGCTGTTTTTCACCATTTCTGAAACATCCAATTACCTGTCTCAAAGGAAACAGCAATAACACCTGTCACAGTGACATGACAGAAAAACGAAGGGTTTCGGGGAAAGAAAGCTAGATTATAAATACAACCAACAATATAGCGCTTTAAAAATATATCTTTTTTTTAAGGGTACAGGACTAATAAGGCTGGGTGAATAACTGGTTTGCAACAAGGGAGAATGTGAACAACGTGCATTTAGGTCAGCTAAATTTCCATCGATATTCAGATCGTTAAGATCCAGGGCAACTTTGCATGCAGCACCTCCAGTAAGTCTGGACCTTGTGTCTCAACCAAGAAGCCGTGCTTCCCCTCGGCCTCCTGCACAGGAGATATCTGAAGGATCCAGCAGAGATCAGGGAGGGGGGATTGTCTGGAGGTTGGGGTGCTTAAGGCTCCCCATAGTGCCCACAGCCGTAAGACTCACCCTCCAGAAGGGAGACGAACCAGGAAGCATAAACAGCTCTACCAAAAGCTGCTTGCTGCCGTTACTCCAAGACCCCTTCCAAGCTCCTGGAGAGAATCCAGGACGCACTGCTCTGAGTCCACGGGACAGCCAGAAGTATGAATGGGAGCTGAAGGCCCACTGTTGGAAGGCTGGATTCCACCCCTCCAGCTCCTCCCTAAACTGTTGGGGATTGAGGAGAACTTTCAGGAGGAAAATGCAGCCTTAGGGGGAGAACGCCACCCAACCGGGACTTCAGCCACAATAACTCTTGTCTATCAACTCTGTATATACATTTAAAATCTATTGTACTACACAACTACGCTCGCTTGTGCTGCAGTTTTCCCTTAAAAGCATTGATTATTTCTGAGAACCGCAAGGCGTTATTGAAGAACACACATTATAATGCCCCTATTTTCGCTCAAGCCACAGGGAGCCCTGGACCGTTTCAGAGCATGTTCAGCTTTCTGCTTCCACCCAGTATTTCACACCTCTTTTCCCATCACCCGCGATGTTCCTCTTGTAGGGCTGTTACGGTACAGTGGAAGTGAAGCTCACTGGAAGGACAGATCCTGAAGCTGAGGCTCCAATACTTGAGAAAAGAAGACTCCCTGGAAAAGACCCTGATGTTGGGAAAGTGTGAAGGCAAGAGAAGGGGATGACAGAGGGCGAGATGGATGGACAGTGTCATCGAAGTGACCAACATGAATTTGACCCAACTCTAGGAGGCAGTGGAAGACAGGAGGGCCTGGCGCGCTCTGGTCCATGGGGTCATGAAGAGTCGGACACGACTAAACAACTAAACAACAACAACAATCTGCTGATGTTGCTGCTGCTGCTGCTTCAGTGCTATACTTCATGCCTTGTATTCTGGCATATAGGAGGAACTGCAGTAGGTTGTGTAATGAAAAGTACCCCTAGACAAAAGTTTAAGAAAACACTTAAAAGCTTCATCACAGGCACCCTCTGGTCCTCACCTGGCGCTTCGGAGGCTTCAGTTCATCTCTTGGAACGATGTCGATGAGGAAGTCGAACTGGTCAAATTTAGTGATGGCCATGGCGATGTCATTTCTCTGCAACCAAGAGAAGAAAATGGGAACCTTTAGGCTTGGAGTTCCACAATGCTTAGCCTTTTTCAAATTAACAAGCAGCAAGGAAGATCTCAGAATAAATTCATGGCACCCGGGAGCGACATGAGCAATCTGCAAGAGAAAGTTACTGCCAGAGTTCCCAGTCCCCTGATGCATATCCACCATGCCTCAGAAATGATAGGTGCCACGTTCTGCATTTTGCAACGTTAGCCAGCTCAAAGGCAAGTGTGCTTCTCAATGGTATTCCACATGACATAATTCAAAGCCTTTCTAAGGCCAACCACTGCAGTTGGTTAAAGCCACAAATGCAGTGAAGTGTACAGAAAACAGAGGAGGAGGGGTCGTTAGCTCTGCTAGCAAATTCCCCTTTTTAAACAGAACAGCGAGCAGCCGTTTTCATATAAACTCAGTTGGTTCTGGTGCAGAAAATCTGAAGAATTGCAAATTGGCCCTCTCACTGCCATGTACATAATATGATTGAGCAAGGGAAGTACATGAACTTCGTTGGGTTGATATTTGGATACCAGCTTCCCAGAATCTGCAAACTACTGCACAAACTGGCAGTGAGGATTGATTTTTTTAAAAAATGAACATAGGTGAAAACTAATACTTCTCCAGGCACATAGCTTGGAGTAATCAGCTGTTAAAGATCTGGCTTTGAACCTGCGCATTTATCTGTGTTTGTGGCGTTGAATTAAATTTCAGACCACACCACCCCCCACTTAATAGGTACGTGCCCAGCCCCATCACAGTCCTGTCCTCCTACTGAATCTGGCCACTGCAGATGGCTGGCAATTCCTTCACTCAGTTTGCTTTTGATAAGAACTTGTGCCAACAAGGCTAATCTCTTCACAGATCTGAAAGGAGGTACTAGAGATTTAAAAGAGTCACATTAGGGAAAACATGAAACTGACAAATGCGAAGTCAGAAGAGGGAGGGAGGGTTTTCCACCAGGTACTGCGGAAGAGTGTCTCTTCTTTCTTTGGAACAGTATTGCCCCAGGAGCAGCAAGCCTCAAGAGGTGAGCCACCAGGTCTGAAATATTCCCAGGTTAGACACCAAAGAGCTGCTGCTAAATTTTAAACTCGTTGAAACTAGACATGGGCACAGAGCGCTTCGCCCTGCTTTGGCCCAATTTGCATGTGCAGCATCACAAGTGTCACGGGTCCCTTCCCCCCACCACGCCAGCCAGCTGCCTGGGGTGGCTGTCCCATCCGGCCAGAAGTCCAGGCTTCCCTTCCGCACCTCCTCCAGCAACTGACCAATCAACAGCTGAGCACCAAGAATCCCCGCCCTGCCTCCTCATCTGAGTGGTCTGAAAGGGTTAAGCTACCTGCTGCTCTTCCTTTGGAAATTGCTTCTTCCTGACCCCACCTTGCAGCAGAGAAAGTATGGTGGCATTTGCCTTGCCAAATAGATTGGTACGCTGTCCTACCCACTCCTCCCCAGGCCCTCACTGGAAGGATGTGCAAGAAACAAAGAAGATATCAAGACATTTTAAATTGCAAGCAAGAAATAACTCTACCCTTTACCTGTAAGGTCCTGCGCTTGTTATCCTCTGTGTGTATCCAGGCCCGTAGTGTCAACTCTGTGATGAATATCTGAGCAGCCTTGGCAAATAAAACAGGTGCTTCTGCACTGATCATCTAAAGAAAGAACGAGATCAGCTTTTACTATGACTGGTTATGTATTAAAGTTTTGATGAACGACTCTTGTAACTGTCCATTTCACTTCTTTTTCCCAAGGTGTAAAGCTTTACACTTATCCCTGTTAAATTTCATTCTGTTGTTTTCAGCCCAGGGCTCAAGCCTATCAAGATCTTTCGGAATTTTGTTTCTGTCTTCCAGGGCATTAGCTATTTCACACAATTTCGTGCCATCTGCAAATCGGATAAGCATTTCCTAGAAACCCTCATCCAAATTAATAAAAATGTTGAAGAGCAGCAGGCCCAGGACTGAGCCTTGTGATACCCTACTTACTATCTCCTCCCAGTTTGAGACGGAGTCATTGATGTACAATTCTGTAACCAACTGTGTATCCACCTGACAATTGTGCTATCCAGCCTGCACCTAGTTATCTTGCTAATCAGGGGGGCACTTTATCAATTTTTTTTGCTGAAGACAAGATATATTACATCTAAAGCATTCCCACAGTCTACCAAGGAGATTATCCGAAATTAAAAAAATTCTTTAAAAAAGTTTTTAGTTCCAAGCTTACAAAAATCAAAGTAGGAAGTCTTAAAATGGAGTTGTGTTGCAGGCACTGTCAGGAAGTCTATAAAAAGGATATGCCAGTTCCTGGGTGCTAACAGGGCCTCTTGCATGGAGACGGGATAGAGTGGGTAAGGTGTGTATCACGGTCATCCCTGCAGTTAAAAGCACAGGCATCATATCTGTCGAACAATCAACACAAGGAGGCCAACTTCCTCTCTCCCACACATAACGTCTACTTTCACTCTTGATCATGCTGCCAGCCTCATTTCATCTCACACCACTTTCCACACAAGGAGGCCAGATACAGTACAAGGACAGATGCTGACAAATGGGAACACGTTCAGAGGAAGGCAACAAAGAGGATCAGGGGACTGGAAACCAAGCCCTAGGAGGAAAGACTGAAAGAACTGGGCATGTTTAACCTTGAAAAAGAAGACTGGGGGAGGGGGGATAGGATAGTACTTTCCAAATACTTGAAAGACTGTCCTACAAAGGAGGGTCAGGATCTGTTTTCCATCATCCCAGATTGAAGGACATGTAACAATGGGTTCAAGCTGCAAGAAGCCAAATTTAGGCTGGATATCAAGAAAAACATCTTAACTGTTAGAGCAGCACGACAACGGAACCCATGACCTCAGGGGGAGGTGGTGAGCACTCCAACACGGGAGGTATGGAACAGAAATTTAGACAACCACCTGGCAGATATCCTTTGATTTGCATTCTTGCCTTGAGCAGGGGGTTGGACTTGATGGCCTTCAAGGCCTCTTCCAGCTTCATTTTTCTATGATTCTATGATGCTCACCTTTCCTCCTTACAGCTATCAAAATAGTGTAGGGAAAATGCTAAAACAATTAAGACAGCACACATTCCAAATATGTCATCAAGGCAATGAAAAAAAATCATGGCCTCCAGGCTGGGAAACACTGATCTAGCGTATGCAACCCACCCCTCAGCAACTCACTTTCCACAGGGCCTTTCCTGCCAGAATTTGCATAGCTGCTGGGTAGTGCATTTTTACACTTGGGTAAAAGTGTAAACCTGACCTTTTATTACCAGCCTGGAAAGAAAGCGCTCTCGAGGGAGACATTCTCAACAAGCAAATAAAGAAGCTCAAAATACATTTACAGCATTGGTCTTCTATTGTGTGTGGGGGGTGTCAATCGTTCGGCCAGACATTTTACCTTCACGTCCTCATCTAGTTTCATGATCTTCTTAATGCGTGCCAAAGGAAGCTCCTGAACTCGGAAGTCTTTCTGCAGAGAAAAAAAGAAGAGACATCACCGGGCGACTCAGTATTTAGTACAAAGAAAAGGACATCCAGCCCTGACTATATAAAAAAAACTACAATTGGCACACGGTAGACTTATTATTCTCCTATTTCCCAACATGGCACAAATATGGTAACTTCACATTTGGGAGGGTTTCTTTTTTATTTGAATTATGTGTTTCATTGCTTCAGTTATGCAAATAGCCAGTGCTTCCTGTCTAAAAACAACTCTGTAATACAAATTAGCTCTCCATAGCTACCTGGGAGAAAACAAAATACGTCCAAACATGTTGTAATGATCTCCACATACATTCAACCCACATTGTGCATTAAAATCCAACCAGAACGCATGTCGGCGACCATGCAGTTAAAAGAACACAGAACGGTAATTTTTGTGCTTTCTTTTCCCAAAGAAGACAAATATCATAATCTCCAAGCCTCTGAACTAGGTCAGGAGCTGTGATGTGCTAGAGATGGGTCCGTGTGACTGTAAAGATATTATCAGGATACATAACACAAAATGACTCCACGCAAACAAAAGGCTTAGTGGCAGCAAATTCAACTCTAAGTGCCTTAAAAATGACCCCTAGAAGAAACAAGGCCTTGCATGTTAAAAAGAGAAAAACAAAAAATCAGAAAAGACTGGCTATCTCTAAAGTTCAAGGGGAAACGTGCTGGACAGCTTCAGGCCCGTTGTGGAAGGGACACAACCCACCCTCTGGCTGCTGCCAGCTCTCTGGACAGGAGGGCTGGCTGTTCTTGGGAGGCAAAGCATTTTAAGAGTTCAACAGCACTCGGAACAGGGCCTGGAAGCTAGACGAATGGCAGTACAGATGGCATAGGATATGCAACACGCATCTGGGCTTCCTCGTTTGTCAATGTGTTGATCGCGTTTCACACCTATCGTGATGACTCTTGGACGTCACGTGGAAAGAAGTGCAATCACGCCAGAAGTCCACGGGGAGAACGGTGCAGTCGCAGGACCCATTAAATTGAAAACCTACCTGCTGTGCCTTAAGATCTGTTTAGGAACAGGTAGGAGGGCCATTCGTTGGTTACCAAGCAAGGTCAAAAGAGCTAAAACATATCTCAGTGGCTGAGCCCATGCCTTCATGCAGGTCCAGCGTCTGACATCTCTAAGCAGGGCCGGAGGGGGAAAAATGCCTGAACACTAAGAATCATTGCCACCAGCCACTGTTCTTTGGAAGACAAGGCAACCTATGAAGCACCTTGAAATCAAAACCATTTGAAAGCCCCTGGCTCAGTGACAATGACAAGAACATCTGGGGACCCTAGGTTGGAATCCACTGCTCTAGGAGCATGGAAAAGAAAGACGAGGGGGGGAAACGGTGTCTTCATCTTCTGATCTTTCAACAAAAACAGTCATGCAGGCTGCCAGCAATAACGTTCCAGCCAGAATGAAAAGAAAGGGGGGGGGGGGACAGTGTCTTCATCTTCTGATCTTTCAACATGCGGGCTTGCCAGCAATAACGTTCCAGCCAGGCACCCAGCTGAAGTCTTGTTTAGATCCCATGTTCTCCATGGCGTTGTGTGCAGCTCAACAATCACTGCTGAGGTCACTCCAGCCGTAAGCAGACCTGAACATTTTATGCCCCTACTGATTATATGGCACGGGTCGGGCAAGGAACATCTATACACATAAGCAAATATACAGGTACATATAGAACATGAGTGGATTCTCCATAAAATTCAGCACTGATTATAACCAGAGTTGCTGCAGCCTTCCCCCCCTTTTTTTCCATAGTTCCTGTTAAAACGATAAGCAAATATACAGGTACATATAGAACATGAGTGGATTCTCCATAAAATTCAGCACTGATTATAACCAGAGTTGCTGCAGCCTTCCCCCCCTTTTTTTCCATAGTTCCTGTTAAAACGTCCACTCAAACAGAAGGGTTATGGCTTGACATTCAACGTTTTGTTCACTTGCTGTGCAATAAATTGATCCACGTGACCAGAGCGTCTGAAATTAAAACTGCCCCTTTCTTGGAAAGCTTCTGAATAAGAGTTGTCACCATGCAGGGCTGTCAACTCAAACACGCAGTTCTCAAGTGGCAAAGCTCTGTGTAACAAGCGAACAGAGTAATTAATTTAGGAGAAGCAGGGGCTGCAGCTAAATCTCTCCAACAGACTTTGGAAAAGGTGGATTTAACAGAAAGCTAGATTTTAGCCTGTTAGTTCTCAAGATTGAAGTAAGGTGCGTTTGCTAACCTAGTAGCTCTCTGGGGGGCAGAAAAGATGACACAAATATCAGATTCTGAAGTTTAGGACCAGCAATCAGTAACATGGTAGAGATGCAGATTTCTCAAGGATGGGCTCAAATACATGAATTTACACACAGTGAAAGAGAGAACTGGCACTTCCATTTCTTGTTTTCAGCCCCAAACTGAAAGCACAGTTTCAGGAAGGAAGCAAACACGTGCAGTTCTCTTCCAAGGCATGGAAACGGTGGGTTGTTTTTAACAAACAAATATCCATGCAATGGGAAGTAAGAGACAGGACGGTTGCAGGAAGTCAGTGTCTATGCAATCTGTTTTTGCAGGACTCCAAAAGTCAATGGGCCAAACAAAGCCTTTCTTCAGGACTGCTGCATCCGTACAAACCCAGTTTTTTTAATGGGCAACACAGGCCTCTCCCGGAAGTTCACAATCAGGCTATGAAAACAAACCTCTGCACCCCTTCTATTCATGAGTGTTTAATCATGGCAGCTAAAGGGAGCCTCTGGGGTCGGAGACAGAACAGAAAGCACCAAAAAAAAAAAAACTTATCCTCTGTGAATTTCCCTACTCCCCTCAAAGCCACTGATCTACATTTCAGTCCATGGAAGTTTCTCACAGAAAACGTTCATCTCCCCTTCCCCTGGTTTCTATGCCATTACTATTTTCCCAGTAAATGTGTAACTTCTAGGATATAATGAGAGACAGATACTTGGAAGATTTTTCCAAAGAGGCAACCTCAGAGCCACCTTCCTGCTCCAGTTAGAGAGGTGTAACCGCAAGTTCGCATACAGAGGGGACCTTTCCAATGACAGCACAATTATTGGTGATCATCCACCCAACAGAGGCCTGCCAGGATTCATCATGGCTTAAACTCCACCAGACAAATTTCCTGGTCTGCTTTGAATAGGTCCCATGATGCTTGTTCTTAAGATGCTATCTTCCCATTTTTAAGATGCTTCATTGTTGTTAAGATGCATAACTTTCTGATGTGTTTTATGGTTTTGGCTCCTTTAGATTTCAAATGTAAGTCTCCTTGATCACTTCTACAGGAAATGCTCCAATTGATTAAGCACAGAAATAATATGGGAGAGCAGACCACAAATCACACAACCCAGCCAAGAACACAGGGATCTAAGCCTGAGTTACAGTTATATGACAGCTAAGCAGGACATTTATGATTGGTGAGTACATTTCCAAGGCTACAGAAGATGAGACAGCAGGCCATGTAAAGAGGCCTGGGGTGAGAGAAAACTGTTCAGAAGGGCCATCCATCTCAGCCACGTAACATTTTTCCAAGCCCAAGATGGTGCAATCCACTTCTCGCCTGAAAATAGTGCTGTCTTATGGTTCTATGAGCAGGGCACACTGGGCTACTTAAAAAAAAACCAATACTGTATTTTACATGCTTATTTCAAGAGGGATTCAAGAATGTGGACACAAGAGTGGAAGAAATGAACAACCCACGTTCCTAACAGGGCAGATACTGGGGAGAGGTTTCAACAAAGATTTCCAAACACTTCTTGCTAGCCCCCCTCTTAAGAGCCTTCCTGGAACACCGTATTTCGCACGTAAGAGGAAATTCAGGAAGCAGTTTCTCTCCGAATCAAAAATGAAGTAGCAGGCAGATTCTTCACCTTCTGGTGGCACTACTGGAGGTGAGGAGTCTACAGTCCCTATAACATTCAGGTCGAAAATCTTTTGCCTTTAACAAAGCAGAACGAGTAGATACCAAGTATTGACCTACCGGGAACGACGCGGGCAGACTCTCCTCGGTACCTGCCCCGACATTACCTCAAAGTTTTGGAATACAATTTAAGAGTCTCTTACCACTGTGAGGTTTCGGATCTCCTCCATGACCCGAGGCCAGAAAGACTGAAGGCACTGCTGGGCATCGCTGTTGCCTCCTGCAAAGCCCCCATCCGTGGACATTATGGTAACTGGGGAGTAAACAAGAACAACAACAAATTCACCATGAAAAGCCGAAGGGAGATCAGGTCTGAGTACCTGTGAAGTTCACATCTGAACAGCCTCCCAATGCGGTTTGTTTCAACAAAACAAAACAAAAGACACTTGTGCACAAAAAGCCAGACAGTAACGTCATTCAGGAACCTTTTAGCAATTCTTACATCGTTACAATATTTTCTTTCTTCCCAGACTCGGGAAGAGAAAAAGGCTGAATTTACCCAGGGACTGAGTAAGCTCAAGTTCCATTCCTAGACACAGGGCTTGTGCGAAACACCTAAAAGCTTTGCATTTGCGACAAAGCAGTCTATTTAGGGAGTATCTTTTCCAACATCAACCTTTTTATTTCTTCTGATGGTCTGTGAAGCTGCTGCTCAGAATTCCTTCGTTTCACATGATAAGAGCCCTTAGTTTGTTCTGTACAGGACCTGTTTCACAATCTCTCCTTTTAGCCTACACTATCTTCACATTCATGTTCTTCTCCACCAAGGCTACATTTATTGACTCATACTCAAATACTAAATTCTGCTGAACGTTATGGGATTTTTTTCAGATCACAGATGCATCTAAAATTACACTTTTTGGCTTTTAAAGTTAACTTTTCCTGGTTTGTGAGCACTTGATTTCATTTCATTTATTTATACCCACCTTTTCCCAAAAGAGGACCCAAGACAGCTTACAGTATCAAAACAGACAATATTAAAAGCTAAAAAGACTGTAAATTATTGTAAGGTAAAAAAAGAAAGAAGAAAGTAAAGTGGCATATTAAAAACAGCTTAAATGATTTTTTAAATGTATTAAAAATATATTGTCTTAAAACTATATCAAAACAGACAATATTAAAAGCTAAAAAGGCTGTAAATTATTGCAAGGTAAAAAGAAGAAGGAAGTAAAGTGGCATATTAAAAACAGCTTACATGATTTTTTAAATGTATTAAATATATATTGTCTTAGAACTATAGAGATGGAAGGGACCCTAAGGATCATCAAGTCCAGACCTTCTCCAGGAGGCACAGACAGGAATCAAGCTCCCAAACTTTAGTAAAGAGGAGAAAGAGTCTGTTCCTAATTACAGTTTTCATTAAACAATAATAATGTTGGGGAAACCAAGCATACCCTGTTTGGTTGCAGCCTTGCATTGTACTTGCAAGTATGACGCTGGTGTCCGTTTTGAGTTCTAGGCGAAGGAAGAAATGGCTGGCTTTTACAAGAAACAAAGGGCATGCCAAAGACTCAATCCCCTGGACTGCCCAAGAGGGGAAACTACAGGTTTCTGCTGAAGGCACTTTGCCTGGACTGCTGTGCCGTGGAAACTCAAATTTGGTGTTTCAGGCTAAGGAAATGCTGTGAACGTTGAAGGCGTGTCTCTACTAAAGGCATGAACTGCATTTTTTAAAAACACTCTTCTGGTCCTGAGATATCAAAACACAAGCATCGAAACAGGGCCTCCACCGAAGACCTCCAACTCTGAGCAGGGTTACTGAGAACGAGAAAGCAATCTCCCCCTCGCAAAAAAAAATAAATAAAATTAAATTAAAAAAATCCCCCCAGTGATCTGTCCTATGGCTGCCAAGGGTGATACGTTTTCAGTGCTACTGCTCATTCAATTTGCTTTTTTACTGCAAAATATTTTGTTCTTTGGTTCTGGCAACTTAAGAACAAGCTCGCTTACAAATGATGTAGAAGAACAACAGGTCCCCTTACAATGACAATTTTATTTTTAGGGTATGCTACCATGTATTAAGGCCTTGCAGTGACAGCAGCAGCAGCTAAACATAAAAGAACAGGTGCTATCTGTTTTTGTTCCTTTTTTTTAATGTTAGCATTATTACGTGGCACCCCTCCAATTACTCCTTTCTTGGTTCCAAAATATACCAAAGGTTGATTTTCTTCTTCTTTTTCTTCTTCTTCGAAACACTGGGGTATTATTTCTGTGACGGTATCAATTTCAAAACCAAGTGCCAGGAAAAATAAAAGGGAATTAAATAATTAAAGAGCCTGGTTTGATTACCCATCCACAGAAGAGGGTGCCTACTGTCTCTCCCGTTGATTCGTGGCTCTGCCTCGGCCTCTTTCCTTCCATTTAATTCTGCGTACCTCTAACTGTTGGCCAATTCAAAACGAAGATGATTCAGAGTGACCGATGGCCAGAAGTGATCAATTTATTCTTCTTTGATGGCTGACCCTTATTTCTCTGCCTGAGTCACTGACCCAAAGTTGCCTTCTGGTGCCCTGAGCGGAAAGGTATTGTCAATGAGGAAGATCATGCTTCCACTCGGGGCAAATAATTCCAGTTCACGCACTACAGAAAGTTAACCTTGCCAAGCCCAAAGGTAATTCAGAAAAAGGAGTGTGCATCTGAGCTATTAAGGAATGGAAGACAACAGGACCACCATACGAGATACCAAGGATGGGGGCTGAAGTCGCAGGACCCACTGTCAAGTCGGACTTAAGATGCACCAGTGACTTGACCCGGGGTTTCTTTTTTCAATAACTTGGACCTGACTCAAACCGGCCCATGAAGCTTACACTCCCATCCTAATCTGTGAAGGACGTGTTTGAAGGCAGAATCCGTGCGGAAGACTGGGCCGCCCTCTCCAGAAGGAGGTAACTGTCAACTCTCCTGCCTTGAAGCTTAGATGAGAAAGGATGTTCCAAAGGACAATGGGAAGCGCGCTCTCTTGCCTTCATGGGGGAACTTGTACTCTCAAAGGGACGAGAAACTCAAGGGTACGTCGTGGCCTTTACAGGACAAAAACAAGTCTGGCTAGGGAATTTTTAATCTGCTGAATACCTTCAGGGAAAATCATTCCAACACTGATTTTTTTAAATAGCTATATTCAAGGATCCCTACATTTGCACCGAAGGGAGAGGAGAAACTACAGAATGTGTTATTTAAAAGTATGAATAGACACAATCATTCTGTGTGGTGGCGTAATGGGAAGTGGCTTGAGGCCAAGAACAATTCTGACATAAGTGAGCATGATTCCCACTGACTTATGATCTATTGTGCGAGGCGGGTTTTATTTTGGCCCTTTCTCAGGCAAAGAGAGGGAGGAACAAGAATTTCTATACCTCATCTCCCCCCTCCATGTATATAAAATACGACTATCTCGTTTCAATAAAGTTGTCCAGGAGAAATTACTACATCGACTTCATCTCATGCTGTGCAAAACAGCACTTATTGTTAAAAAAAATTACAGTGTTAGATAATTTTATGGTGGGAAATTATTAGTAGTTAGCTTTGCTGATCCAAGCATACAAAGAACAATCACACTGATATATAAAAGAAAGAAAGAAAACAAAACCCAGCTAGGCCTGGTTAAGTTTTCTAAAAACTGCTATTAAAAAGAGTTTGCGTGTTTTGATGAATGCACCACACAGGCACAGCACTTGCAAGATTATGCAAAATTAAAAATTCTCTTGCAGCCTCTCTGGAGCTTTTTGGCAATAATAAACTTATTCAAATGTGACCAGTCCATTCAAATATGTAATTAGTTGGCCGTCCTGATCAGGTAAAAATCATAGGCACACACGTACCGTTTCCAGAAGGTTTGCCAAACACAAAATCCATGTTGGGAGCTGAAAGGACCCATATAGCCCCCTCCTACGCAGATACCTAAAAGCTGTGCCCATCCTGGTCACTAATGCGACTCACATCAGACCAAGTCATAAAAAGAGAGCCAAGGTCAGGAGAGGAAAAATCACTTGCAAAGCTAATAGGTCCAGATGTCCACAACGCCCTATACTGCACACCTCTAATTGCAAAAGTTCGCTTGAGGTCACAAATGGCAGAGTGGAGAGTGCCCGATGGGCCAATTCAAGGATACAGTAATAAATACCCTGACCCCCTGGAAGAGCCGAAAGAAACTTCTATATAGTAATGACGTTCCACAAGGTATCAAGTGCCACCACTGACTCTGTGCGGTCAGGCTGCTCCTGAGAAAGGCCTACATACCAGCACAAGATCCTGGGAAAGATGCTGCGGCAATGACGCACGAATCAGTCTTCAGGAGCCTTTTAACTGAAGATGAAGAAGACAGCTATCAAAATGACAGCCGCATGAACACCGGTAATGAAGTTTCCAAGTGTTGATTAGCAATATCCTGACAATTTTATGTTTAGGTAATCAACACTCTCTTTCTTCATTTTACCCCCAACCCCATTTTTATGTCTATAAAAGGACCCTTTACACTGTTAAAAAAACCACTGCAAAAAGAAACGTTAACAAAGTATTTGACACCCTTCGATCCTCTCCCACAAACACAAACATTGGAGATATAAATTGGGACCTCAGTATTATACACCATGTGTCTGAAGATGTAGATTATAATCCATTAAAATTCATTTTGAATTAAAGAAACCGCAGGACCTTGTATTTATTTGTTCTTACACATATTGTTGAGGAATGAAGATATATTTTAGATTAGAACACATTCTTGGTTTCTCTGGGATAAACCCAACAGCCAGAATGGCTAAGAACACCTTACAGCAGTGGTTCCCAGCTTTAGGTAACCCAGGCGTTCTTTGGACTGCAATTCCCAGAAACCCCAGCCAACCTAGCTGGTGGACTTCTGGGAACTGTAGTCCAAGAACACCTGGGTTACCTACTGCCTTAGAATATGCCCCCACTCCCAGAATTCTCAGCACGGCTCCCAGATTCTATTATTATAGATTATGATGGGTTTCTCAGCAGACATGCCAAGGTAGAACTCAAATCAAAAAGGCTGAAATTCACTATAACACACATTTTCTTCTTGTGACCGCAGACACTCTTAGCATCAAATTCAGTGAGGAGAATAAAACTCCTAACCAGATTCTATTTGCATTATTAGACTTTAGACACTTAAAAATGATTGAGATCATCCACAGACGGAAATGTGTCCTGATTTGCTTTCCTACATGAAGATGACACATATGGAGTTCAGGACACACAAATTAATCCATCAGATCTGCTCTGTCCTGGCAGGAATCT